GGAGGGCGGGGAGGAGAGAGTTTAGTTGCCTTTTCCATGCAACTTTTGTTCAGAAACAAGGCAGAGGGCCCTCCCTGGTGGCACAGAGGGTTAAAGCACAGCACTGCAAGCTAGCTGCAGCCTCTTCAGTGAGAGTTTGAACCCCTGCGGAGGAGACCCACATGGAACAGCCGCTCTGACCCACCCGCTGCTCTGCTCCGCAGTGTAATTTCAGTTGGATCTGCCTGTCCTGCTCCCCATTCTGTCCCTGGTGAATCCTCTCACCCCCTCTGGCCTGTACCCCAGTTCTATATGAATAAATAAATCTTAAAAAAAAAAAAGGCAGGAAAAGTATTGGAAAGGACAGAGTCTTGGGATCCCCTCACAGTGGTGTCAGAGGGAGTCTAAGGAACACTACGTGGAATCCCAAGCGCCTAGGTACTTCCTGGCTGTGTGAGAGGCAGCAGACTCTGCCATTTCTCTAGCCTGTTTCTTGTCTCTAAAATGGGGACCTTGCTTAATTCATCCAGTTACTAAAAGATTATGTGGGTTAGGTTTCTAGAATACTGACTGGCACAAAGTACGTACTTATCAGGCAACTAATAATATTAATCTTAACGCTGAGGATGCAAAGGAAACGCAGGCCAGGAAGATTCTGCAACTTCTCCTTCCTTCTCCCCACAGAAAACGAAGGCACTCTTTCTAAGCAATGTCGGCTATTCTACAACGTGTACTTTTCAAAATTCATTTCTAAGGGAATTATGCCCAAAGACCTGGGGAACCTTGGGATAATCTCCTTTCAAAGGATTTGTGCTCTAACACCAAGTCTGGGTGGCTGGTATTGAGGTAGAGGCTTTGTCCCCTGCAATTTTCCTCCTCCATCCCAATGGCAGATGGTGGGAGGCTTGGGCAGCCTGGGAGGTGGCAAGGTGGGTAATTACTGCGCAATTGAATACAAGTCTCATGGAAATGCTCAGAAAAGGCAGGCAGACCCTGGCACACATTGCCCAGTGGGTAAGGGAGAAGAATGATGACCCCCAGGGAAGAAGAGGCCATGTGGTTCACTGAGCTCTGGGCACATCGGGGGTTCAATTAGCACTGAGGCTAATGAGAGTGAGAACAGAGCACATGGAGAGGGAGAGGCAAAGGCCCAGCAGGTCAGCCGTAGCTCCCTGTCCTCAGGTCTGAGAGGAAGGGCGCCGAGGAAGACAGCCATACTGGGAAGCTGGGAGACAGCCCCTCTCCAGACAGAAACCACGGAGCCACAGAAGACAAAATAAAAGGAGGGAAGCCAGTTGCTCTGCACTATCAGAAATGCTAAATAGAAATTCTTCTGGCTAATGGAAACTGGAAGAAATGAAGATACTAGAAATAGCATGAAATTTGTCAGATACAGTGATGGACAAGAAGTTATTAAAATGTATGTTATGGATGGAGCTGGAAGGGATCGTGCTTAGTGAAATAAGCCGGAAAGACAAAGAAAAATACTAGATGGTTTCACTTATAGCAGGAGTGCAAGCGATCAAGACAAAAAAAAAAAACTGTAATAAAGCAAAAACAAAAGTCAACAAACAACTATAAACCAGAGACAGTCTATGGGGCGGAGAGGAGAACAGGATCAAAACTGGGATGGGAAGCGCACACGGACTATGGTGATGGCACACGGGTGAACTGGCGGTGGGAAGCCCATGGGATTACAACCAAGATGAAAATTGCACAAAATGAAGAATGATGTAAAAAGAAAAATATATATACATATATATAATAAAGTGTTAAAAAATGCGTGTTACTGAAAAAAAAAAGGAGGGAAGCCAAGGACCCACATTAGAGTAAAGAACATAGGGACATTAGCCATTCGCCCATTTACCAAATGTTTAGGGAGTACCAAGTAGTGGCCAGGCACGTGTTAGGCACTGGAAATATAACTACCTCCAAGACAGATAAGGCCCTTGCTCTGATGGAGCTGACATTCCAGGAGCAAAGAGAGACAAATATAACCTACGCTGTCTTTTGGGATGTATTACAGAGAAAACTGCAGCCAAGTGAGGCATGCAGAAAGTGTTAACTTAGGATTTTGAGGGAGGCATCCTAGTGACTTTCGGACAGAGAATCCAAAGGAGGTGAGGGAGTGAGCCATGAAGGTTTCTGGAGGAAAGAGCACTCCAGGCATGTGCAAAGGTCCTAGGGTGGAAATGTACAGGTCAGGTTGAGAAATAGCAAGGACAAGGAATCCAGGTAGCTGGAATGGAATGAGCAAGAAGAAGGGGAGTGGAAGGGACACAGCACTGGTATTTGGGGGTAGGGGACACCCTATGTGGTAGTTTTGGTTTTGCTTAACTGAGAGGGGACATTATTGGAGGTTTAGAGCAGACTGTAGTGGAGTGTGGACTGTTGGTGGGGGAAGGGGCGAGCAAGGAAGCTGGAAGCTACAATAAAGCTACTGGATTATTTATTCTGGAGCACACATGATGGTGATGAGAAGGGGTGAGATTCTGGATATGTTTTGAAAGGGGTTAAAGTGGGGAGGTTTTAATTTTAAAGAGAGAAATCTCTTTCAATATATTGTTAACCCTCAAAGAACACAGGGATGGGGGGGGATGACCCCCAAGTAGAAAGCCATACATATTTTAGAGTCAGCCCTCCCTAAAAATGAGTTCTGCAACTGTGGCTTCAATTAACTGATATCCACGGCTGACTGACCCTGAGATTGGATGAATCTGTGAATGCAGAACCTCCAAGTAGGAAAAACCTATGTATTTCAAACCTGTGTTGTTCAGCTCAACTTGTTTTGGATGTCTGACTTATAAACAGGAAAACAAACCCACACAAAGGAACTTTTAGCTCCGTAAGAGATACTCAAAGGGGTAGCAGAGACGTGATAAGAAGGGGTAGGGCAGGAACTTTTTCATTTCATTCTTGATTCCCCAGCAAAGAAGGCCTGGCACACACTAGGCCTTTGTAATGCCACCTGCCACCTTTGTGATGGTTAGAACTAGAGCAGACCTCAGAGATCAGTCTTCTCCAGTAAGCCCATTTTATAGTTGGGGAGATGGGCCCAGAGAGGAAGCATAAAGTTAATTGGGGAATCCCTTTATGGGGTTCTTCTGCCAAGCCATGTGTGATGCAGAGGTGGGGTGTCAGGATGTTCCTACCCAAGGGGGGCAAGGCGAAGCCAGGGAAGGCTGGGTACCTCCTCTTATAGACCCTGTGCTGTCAACACAGTGACCCCATTTCCTGTAACTCCTGCTATCAGCCCTGTGGGTATGGGCTGTTTCTGCCTGACCACCATCCACTCCTCTTTTTTGGTTACTAAGCCCCAATTTTCCTGAGGAGATTCAGGTCCAGTGGTCCAGTGGGTTGGCCTCACACCAATTCTAGATTCAGGCCAAACAGATCATCACAAACTTATCACTCTGGGATCCTTCTTATACTTATTGGGCTTATTGGAGAAGATTGATCTCTGAGGTCTGCTCTAATTCAAACCATCACAAAGGTGGCAGCTGGCATTTACCAAGTGCCAGGTTGAATTATGTTTTTGATATCGGCAGCTGTCCTAGTTGATAAAGTCGCCATGTATTCAGTGACCTGTATGAGACACCAACTATGGACTGATGGTTTGTCATGTGTTTCCTCCTTTGAGCCTTATAATAACCCTACAGAGTAGTGACTACTATTGTTCCTTTCATGCAAATGAAGCAATGTAGTGTCAGAGAGGTTGAATTACTTGCTCTCAGTCACACAGCTAGCTTAGCTAAGGATAGCTGCAACTGAAGTTTGTGTGAACCCCATTCTTCATTTTTAGCCATTTTATCATATTCTCTCGACCTTTTAGGAACTGACACAGGATAGACAGAAGGGCTGGGCTTAGGCCCCTGATGTAGGAGAGGGGGAGTGAAGGGCTGCTTACTGACCCCTTTTTATCCTTGGGCAGGCTTGCTAGGCACTGGACTGGTGGAAGCAGGCAATGGGGCAAAATGCTTACATCACTTATTCATCCTCCATGTATCTACTCATCATCTGTCCATCCACGTACCCATCCACCATCACCCAACACCCATCCATCCACCTATCCATCCACCCATCCACGCACCCACCCATAGATCCACCCACCCACCCACTCACCCACTCATCCACCCATCCATCTCTCCACCCATCCTTTCTGCAGGTGCATTTGCTAGTGTCAGGCCCTGAGGTGCACAGGTGATCATACAACCCTGCCCTGATAGAGATCCAACTTTCTCCATGTTGGAAAAGCCACACTGATGAATAAACAATGACAAAAGAGTATGATCAAGATCACTTTAGGGGCCAGCATTACTACAAGGCGGCCATAGGGTCCAA